AGGATTTGAACTCAGATCCTCCTGACTTCAGGGCCGGTGCTCTATCCACTGCACCACCCAGCCACCCCTATGTCTTTTTTTTTTTAACATCACCATAGTATTCCTTTCCCTACCCTTTCCAGAAAGCCATCTCATATAACACATAGTATTTTTTTAAAGACAAAAAGAAAAAATCAGCAAAACTGATCAATTCATCAAAAATATATACAACATATAACACTTGTAGTCCTTCCACCTCTGCAAAAGTGTGGGTTGGGAATATCTTCTATCTCTTCCTTCCAGCCATACTTTCAACTAGTATTTCTTAGCAACCTGATGGGTCTTGTGAAAATGCCAATGTGAATGGTACAAAGACAACTGGGCTGGAGTCAGGGAGCTTGGGCTTGAGTACCAGTTCCGCCACTCACTATCAGCATGACCTCAGGCAAGCTTCAGTTTCCTCTTCTGGCTGCTGGAGATACAGAGACAGAGGACACAGATCCTGGTTTCAAAGAACTTATAATCTAATGAAAGGGAAATCAAGGGCACCAGGAGTGTCAGAGAAGAGCAAAGAATCTTCCATCCAAGCTCTTTGAGGTGATCTTTTAGGTCCCTTCCAGCTCAAATCTCCTATGAATCTGTGATGCTAATTATCGAAGAAACATGACAGTCTATTTTCAATTGGTACATTATGGTGCAGGCTCTATTGCAGGAATTGAAGTGAAAGAAGAAGCCTCCTAGAAGTGTTCAGGGAAGGTGTTAAGGACAAAGAAAAAAGGCAGGAAAAAAGTCACTCAGGTGGGGGTCATTGGGAGGCAACTGTTGGATCTTCCCTTTACAGAGGTGACCCAGGCTCATGAGGCTGAATGGAAGGAACTAAGGCCAGAAAGACAGCTTTTCCCCCCTTCCTCTGAACAGAGGAAAAGAAAAACCAAAACAGGGTCTATTTTGGGTGATATGTAGTTTGGAGAGTAACCAAGGACAAAAATAGATCCACTGAGTTGTTAGGGCACCCTCCTCCTCCACCCCCTGTCAGAGTGAAGTGAAATCACTAGAAATCTGGAGGTCTTTCCCAACATTCTTCAGAAGCTATGTAACAGGCTGGAGGTCTCAGATCTCTCATCTGGAGGGCTGGAATGCTTTTACATTTTGACTGTAAAAGGGAGGTGGAAGAATTATGGGAAGAGGAGACGAGAAAGAATGGGATTCAGACTGAAGTGAGAGTTATGAGAAAGTGATTAGAGGGAAAAGAATCTCACTAGAAAGAGGGAGAAAGCTGGGAAGGGAGGCTAGTGGTAAGAGTGGGCCACAAATGGGGAGAATCAGAGAGTTGTATACAGCAACATAAGGCCATCTAGAAAGAGAGCGATGAGGAGCAGGAAAATGACAAGAAGAAATAGGAAAGAGGAAAAGTTCAGAAGGAACATGAGGGGAACTTGAGGGCTGAAAGTGAAAGGACAGCAGGAGCTAGGGAAGATGAGTGCTTATTCACTAGCCCCTGCTTAATGGGTAGGGGTGAGGAAGGGGTGAGATGAGACCAGTTGGTGGCACCATTACACATCACCTTCCAAGGGGCCTTATGGAGACTTTTCCTGGTTGGCTGAATCTGGAAATTCCCCCAGAAAGCTAGTCTCTGTAACCCATCTTCTTATCTCCTGTACTCTGTGAAACAACAAGATTTCAACAAGTGGGTCTTTTTCTTTCCCCTCCCACTGACCCCTTGCGGAGGTGAGAGGGCTTAAGAGGTCATTTTCTATATGGCTGAAAGGGAGAAATCAGTGACACAGACCCTTGAGTCAGAGCCTGATTTCTGAGAAGGGATGCTGAAGTGTTCCCCTACTGGGGACCAATGAGAGGCTGTGTTGAGTAACAAAGGTCCCATACCTCCAGATAGCCCAATGATTTATGGAAAGGTTTCTGCTATGGGGAAAGAGAAGAGAAGACATCAGGGCCACAGAGAAGAATAGGGGAGGAAAGAAAAACTATAGGATCCAGATTCTGGGTGACCTCTACTGTCTCATGTCACTAGGTGATAAAAGGCAAAGTCAATGACCTCAGCCATCAGCCCTCAGTTAAGCACCTCCCTTTGGCCTCAATTCCTAATACCTCCTACCCATATAACTCGCAACCTTCCTGGGCTCCCTACCTTTTTGTGAGGGTGACACCAAAGTAAGGGGTCAAAAAGAAGGCCAGAGTTCTGTGGAGTTTCTCCTATTCTCTTTCCAGTCTTAATCTCATTTTATTCTCTTCCATGTTTCAGTCAAACTGAACCTCCCCTGTCTCCAATACACTCTGAGATCTTACAACTGTCATGCATCTCCTCAGATAGATTCCTTGATGCCTGCCCTACTTATTTTCATCTTTTAAAAACCAGGAACCATGTCTTATCTAAATATTCTGTTGAAGGAAAGGAAGGAAACAAGCATTTTATTAAGTGCCTACTTTGTGTCAGGCACTGTGCTTTACAAATATTATCTCATTTAATCCTTATAATAATCCTGAGAGATAGGTGCTATTATCTGTTTTACAGCTGACAAAACCTAGGCAGGCAGAGGTTAAGTGACTTGCCCAGGATCACACAGCTAGTAAATGTCTGAGGCCAGATTTCAACTCATCTTCTTGATTCTAGGCTTAGCATTCTGTCTACTGTACCACCTAACTGCCTCTAATTGTTTTAAAACGTGTATTATTTTTATTATGTTAATATATTGTTATATCAATATATTCTAATTCTATTGTTACACAAATATTATACTTATATATTATGTAAGTTACTATTATTTATTATATTATATACTATACTACTACATTCTAAATATACTGTTATAGATAATAACATACTATTATTATATTCCTAGAGGTCTGGGTTCCTATACTCAATCAACAAACATTTATCCATCTCCTACTATGTGCTAGGTGCTAGGGATACAATTACAAAGAATGAAACAATCTCTACTCATAATGAACCACTACCATGACCAGGCCTATCTTGCCTAGAGGTGATACCAGGGGCACTATGTAGCTAGAAACTTTTAAGACTTTACCTCCCTAAATGGCACACCTCAAGTCCTGGCCAGACAGAGCTGCTGACACAAGACCAAGCCTGAAAGGGCCCCACCAAAGTCTGAACATACCAGCTTTCTGAGAATGGGCCCCTGGAGGGCAGAGGAGTCACCCCTGTGTCATCAAGGACTGGCAGATGGGCAGACAGACGAGCAAAAGAGAGAGTAGCAGAGGTTAGTGGGAAAACTGCTACCAGCACTACTTCTCTAGAGCAGTGGTTCACAGACCTTTTGGTTTCAGGACTCCTATAGACTCTTAAAAATTCCTGAGGACCCCAAAAAGCTTTTGTTTATGTGAGTTATGACATATCTATCAATATGTACCACATAAGAAACTAAAACTAATTAACTTTTTAAAATATTTATTAATTCATTTTAAATAATAAATCTGTTATATATTAACATAAATAACATTTTTATGAAAAATATTTCCCCCAAAAAAAAAATCCGTGGGATAAAGTGGCATTGTTTTATATATTTTTACAAAGTTCTGTCATGTCTGGCTTAATAAGAGACAGCTGGATTCTCACATCTGCTTCTATATTCAACTTATTGTGTCATGTTGTTTTGGTTGAAGTATATGAAAGAGATCTAGTCTCACACAGATATGTAGTTGGAAAAGGTAGGAGTATTTAAATAAACAAATGATATATCAGCATTATGAAAATAGTTTTGTCATAAAGGACCCCATGAAAGGCTTTCAGAGACTTCCAGGGTTTCAAAAACCATTGCCCCTAAACAGAAGTGGGGCCTTGAGGCCACATGTGGCCTTCTAGGTCCTTGGGTGCGGCCTTTTGACTGAGTCTAAGTTTTACAGAACAAATCCTTTTATTAAGGGTATCTGTTCTGTGAAGTTTGGATTCAGTCAAAGGGCCACACTTGAGGACTTAGAGGGCCTCCTAGAGGATATGTGGCCTCAAGGCTGCAGGTTCTCCACCCTGCCCTGAGAAAATGTTGATGACCATCTGACTATATGGCATCCTACAAGCCCTCTGACAGTGGGGATACCTTTAAGGCACAAGTGTTGTTTAGTCAAGTCTGACTCTTTGTGACCCTATCTGGGGTTTTCTTGGCAGATACTAGAGTGGTTTGCCATTTTTTTCTCCAGTTCATTTTACAGATAAGGAAACTGAGGCAGAGTTAAGTAACTTGCCCAGTGTCACATAGCTAGTAAGTAAGTATCTGAGGCTGGATTTGAACTCAAATCTTCCTGACTCCAGGCCTGGCATTCTATATACTGTATCACCTAGCTGCCCACAAGTACAAAGGATGAAAGCCTTCCCTGAAGGCTGATTGAGGGGGAGAGTAGTTGGAATATATCAGGGCCTCCAATTATAGTGGAAAACCTTTAGGATTTGGAGTCAGGAGACCTATAATCATTTCTTAGCTCTCTACCACTTATTTCCCCTGTGCAGGGCAAGTCTCTCTGACCCTATTTCATCATCTGTAAAATGAGGGAGTTGGACCAAATGACCTTCCAACTCTAAATCTATAGTCCAATAACCCGACCTTCTTTTGCAGCTTCACTGCCAGCTATCTCTGACTAGGGAAAAGCAAAAAAGGCTGAAGTGGATACTGGATACTGAGTAAGGTCACCAAGAATGCCAGGCATCTCTAACTAGCTGAACTGTTGGGGGCAGAGTGGCATGGGGCCAAAGAAGAGAGGACTGAAAAGAAGAGATAAAATGTGGGGTTTAGGTCTGGAGGTGGCATTCTATTAAGCTAGAGAGAGCATTTCCTCTTTATAGCCTCACAAACACATGAACTTACACATAGACTGAGATACACATGTGCATAAAAGCATGCAAACTCACATGCACGCACGCACGCACACTCCCCCCTAAGTCTGGAGTGGTGAAGTGCCTCTTGGTGTCTGGGCAGATTTCCAGAACCTTTGGAAAGTGGGTGGGGAGGCCCTTGGATGAGTTCATCAGACTTCCTGCCTGGAGGGGTTATAAAGAGAAGAGTCCACAAGTCAGAGGAGAGCAGCCACATCTCCTGAACAACCGCTCCCCTCAGAGCTTCACTCCAGCTCCTGTTCTACACAGGCTTACAACGCCACAGCTGGATAAGAAGACAAGGGAGTCAACAACGGCAACCACCACCAACTCCTCTAAGAGATTTCTGAAAACTTTCAGGTAAGGGAGAGTCCATGTCCTTCCATTTCCCTTTTCTAAGCCAGAGTAGAAACTGCCCTTCCTGTCTCCTTGTCCCAGGCACTAACATCATTAGCTGTTTTCCCCCTTAGCTTTATGCACTGAGGAGCAAATAACATCATCCAGTAAAATGACCTGGGCAGTACTGATGGGGAAGAAAGGATTGGTGGCCAGAATCTGGAGCAGGGAGCCAGGCACTGAACCATGCGAGCCAATCCTTTCTGCCACCCACCTCCTGAGCTCCCTACTACTTCCCTCGAATGTTTATTTTCTCCCTTGGTCAAAGAGAAGGCGGAAAAAAAGTCTTTTTTCCCAATTTCTCATGAAAGTTACTTTGAAAAAGTGAAATTCACTATAAAAAAGATACTCCTGTAATTTATTCTCTGGGTATATAGAACAGAGGGGAGAAGTGTTGGGAGCAGAAGCCCTTCTCCAAGTTTCTCAAAAAATCAAGGCCCACCGAGAACAGTAGAACTGGGAGCAACTTCGGACCTTAGACGGGATCAAGAATCAGTCAGAGGAAGAAGTGTTTAGGCGCCCATCCCTTGAATTTCTCAGATGGCTCAGGCTCTCTGGGTCTACCTAGACCATCACCCTACCCTCTGCCCTTATGCTAGCAACAAAGAAAAGACGCTTTTCCTTTCCCCATCTCTGGTCTCAGTGATCTACAATTCTGCCAAGTCTCTTCTCCCTCTCCAGAGAGGTCATTAGATTTTTCATCTTGTCTTCTCCCTGTTCTAGGATGCTGTTCTCCAGGGCTTTTGCCTGCCTCTCCTTGGTCCTTATACTTGGTGTAGGGGATTCTTCGCCTCAACACAACCCCCAGGTAGCCCAAATGGTCACAGACTTCGGGATGAAGGTATTTCGGGAAGTAGTCCAAACCTCCGGGGATGGCAATGTGGTCTTCTCACCCTATGGAGTAGCTTCAGTGCTGACTATGCTGCAACTGACAAGTGGAGGGAACACCAGGGAGCAGATCCAAGCTGCAATGGAATACAGCATTGAAGGTGGGAGACCTTCCTGGGAGGGAATGGGGGGGAAAAGGGGGTGACCTGTGTGTCCTTGAGCAAGTGACTTAATGCCTCTAAACTTCTATTTTCTCATCAATAAAATGATCTGGCTGAATCAGGCAATGCATAAGTTACCCTGGATGCTATTACATAATATTATTCACCTATACTGAGAAGGCTCACACATCAGCTGGCCAGGATAAACTCATGTGTTGCTAAGATACAGGGACTACAGCATGTTTCTCTGACAACATCCACCAGAACTTAAACTTTAATTAGTTTCAGGGCAAGTTTGGGGCTTCCCAACATAAGCAGGAAAAAAAAAAAAACCTCAGAAGAAGATCCAGAGGCCATCTGATGAAGTGAGGCAGGGATAGTGATGAAGAAGGGATTAAGGGAGGGTATGAAATCTCCTTCCATGGAGATATAAGAGAAGGGAGATGCTTGATTTGAAATGGGTTGGGGGTCATTCTATCTGTGGCAGGATCCAACCATCCTAAGGAACCTCTGATTCTATAAGCTTGATGTGTCTTCTCTTTCCTACCACTGTCTAGAGAAAGGTCTGGCCCCTGCTCTCCGAAAGCTCTACAAGGAGCTAATGGCACCTTGGAACAAAGATGAATTCAGTACAGCCAATGCCATCTTCATCCAGCGTGATTTGGAACTTGTCCAGGGCTTTATGCCCTACTTCTTCAAAGTATTCCGCAGCATGGTCAAACAGGTGGACTTCACTGAGGGAGAGAGGGCCCGGTTCATTGTGAATGACTGGGTACAGAAGCACACAAAAGGTAAGAAGACCAGGAAAAGTAGAAGTCTCATTTAAAACTTTGTGTCCTCATGCACTGACTCTAAGAACAGCTACAAAATGGTGTCTGATATAGCCCCAGCACAGAACATAAAATAAGTGCTTAATGAATGCTTGCTGGATGAATGAACAAATGAACAAAACAAAAATCAGAATTAAGTATGACAAAACACAAAACAGCATACAAGCCAGTAGTCTTGAGGTCTACCCAATGGCAGTAACCCTTTTGAAAAAGCCTGATTTTTACAAGAGCAGAAGAATAGAAATGAATGATGGGTTTGAGAGTTTTTCCCACTATTTTTTGTAATGCTGAAGATAAAATATTACATAGTAGAAGACAGAGGTGGAGGATAAATTGATCCACTTCAGGCTCTCAGACAGACAACTGCAATCTAGTCTGACAAATAAAAAGGCTAATGTATTTTGAAACTACATTATAAGAGGAATAGCATTTTTCAAAGAAAAAATAATACTAAGAATGCAGTTTAAAGTCAAATCTGCTGGAAATAATTTTTATTTAATTTAACATTAATCTTTATCCAAGTCATTTCTAGCTTGGAAAAAAATATATCCAAAATGGTACAGACATGACTGTCTGCCCCAAGATGATCTGAAGTAACATATATAGAAATCTTGAACAAGGAAAATCACATATTAAAATCAAGTTTGGAGTTAACATTTCGGAATAGTCACAACTCAGTTCCAACCTAGACCATTCCCCTTAAAGATTGAAAAGAAGTCAATATCTTAACCTTGATTCCTGAGGTCAGTATATTCACCTTGAATGAAAAAGAGAACACTGTCCTTAGGTGGATCATTGAGACAAGCACATCAAGTTGTGAGAAAGACAAAAATTAAATTTGATTATCATCCTTCTTCCACTTCCTAGGAAAGCCAAGCTTTTGTTTTTTCTACTTTGCTAAAGGGAAAAGTCTGGAAAGGGCATAGGCTAGCTAGAGAAAGATCATTTACTAATATTCCTAGAGAAACTAAAAAGGAGGTTTTTAATATGTATAATTTGATGCTTCAAATTATCCTAGATTTGCTAATTCTAGGGTCTCAATTTTGAACACGCTAATCAATAACAAAACACATGCTTTAGTTGTCCAAATTATGTTCTCTGTTTTGCTATTTTTTTTCAAATTCAGCATAAAAGTAATACAACAAAGACTTTCCTCAATGCTATAATAGTATGCCAACTGACATATAATAGTATGCCAACTAGCTCCACCTTGAAACAGGCTACAGAAAACAATGTGAGTAGAGATAAAACCTAGTGTTTTAACATCCTTGAGTCTCCAGCCATCTCTTTAATTAGCCAAACAGTAGCCAGAAAGAAATGCAGATTAACAATGCTATCTGGGATGTAAGTATTCCAAATTTAAAGGCAAGTAGAACTTTATTCTACTGGTCAGTTGGCAAGTAGATAGTCTGATTCCCTTTGCCACAGCTATCATAGAATAAATATTCTAAATCCAAAACTCATTCTTCCAATAGAGCAACTAACTTCATTTGGAAAGTGTATCTGTTGAGCCCAACAAATATTATCAAATATTACAATTATATCCTCATCTCAAAATTTTCTGCATACTGCATACTGGTTGTAAAGGTCAGGAAGTCCACCTAATTCCCTGTTCGATAACAAATACCTGGCAGGAGCTCTTATTTATACTAGGATACCCTGAGAGGAGTTTCAGCTCTCACACATCACAACAGACTATTCAGTCCCATAATGCATCCTTTCCAGGATTCCTGAGTCAGGGCCCTCACTCCCTTCATGGGGCCATAAGCATGTGAGTGGCTGCACTGCACTGCACTCTTAGCCTGACAGTGTCCACACATAACTTCCTGGTGAGAGATCAGTAAGCATCCTTGATCTTTGAACTGTCCAGCTAACCTTGATGAGTGAAATCACTACATATGGCCCTGCAGTTGATCATCCAAAAAATCCAGAACCTCGGAGCACTGCTCTATCTCATTAGAGTATCTCAGCCCCTTACATTTATTCACTCAGTGAGGAAAGGATAGCATTCATGTGGTTTGCCTAGTACAGAAATGACGCAGAGCATACCCTAAGTCACCTAGAACTGATTCGACAGGCTCCTCTCAAAAAAAAAAAAAGGCTTTTCTAGTGGTCTCTTTCTAGGTCTTTATGTACATTTCAGACTGAAATTGAAGGGTTAGCTTTATCCAGAAGTATCCAGTTAAAACTTGCTTACATCTCCTAAGCAGAAAGGATGCTCAAGTACTAGTCAGGTCTAGTTAAGTTGTGTAAGACAGCTGTAGTCTTAGAGCAATGAAAGTACTGAGAAACAGCATGTTTTAAAAAAGATAATTTTCTTTCCTGATTTTAGATCCTGTAGCTAGTAATATTCTCCTATTCTCAGATCATCAATACCAAGAACGAATGTATATGGTCACCAAGGGTAACAATTTATTCATAACATTTTATAGAAATTTTGCACACACAATGGATACTTAATAATACTTTCTTAAAGAATTCATTTATAGCCAGCAAGGTAAGAAGGTTCATAACAATAAATAAAGATAAGGTTCATAACAATAAATGCAGCTGGCTGCCCTAATATGGCAATACAGCTCACATCTTCAGTTAAACCTTTGACAATTCTTTCCAGAAAGGCATTCATTGTAATTTGTCCTGGAGATGATACGTACACTATAACACTGGACTCTGGACACAAGAGAAGTTCCTAGCACAGTCTTTTGCTACTTTTTGCCTCAAGCTGTCTTAGAAGCAAAGGTTCATTTAGACTGGAATATATTAACTCAGTATTGAAGACTAGCTTTCAGCGGTTTGGTATTAACAGTAATTTGGTTACAAAAGTCTTTCAGCAGTTCCCCATATGACTGCTTTGAAGGCTACTTTATTGGCAGAGTAAACTTTCATTCATGGTAAACACACACACACACACACACACACACACACACACACACATACACACATACAATAACAAGAATATGTTCATCATTACAGTACTTAGTTACTTGGAATGAATCAACTTGTAAGATAACAAAAGAAAAAAAAAGATCCAACAGGTATGCTGTGCTCTTTATTTTAATAGCTAGCAATTATATAGCATGAAAATTAATAAAGCACCTGACATTCATTATAAGCTTATAAAGTAAGTACTATCATTATACATATTTCACAGATAAGATAATCAAGGCCAAAAGCAATCAGAGAACTTGGACAGGGTCACACAGCTAGTGTGTCTGGCAGAATCTAAAATCAGATTTCTTTGACTCCAAGGCCACTCTTCTATTCACTGAGCCAATTAGTTAAACTTTGTCTTGGCCTGGTTTCTCCTTTTTATATGCTTGCTTGATGGATGAGGTAGGTACAATAATAGTGAAATACAGTGTTACTGTTGGCTTATTAAAGACAAATTTTCAACCAAATTTTTGCATTGCAACTGCACCAATTAACACTAATTTTCCCCTTTTCTCAATCATATTATACCAAACACTGGGGCCAGGTAAGGAAGAATTAGTGACAAAAAACAAGCGTTATAGAAGATCAAGATCTTCTAAAATGTCTAATAGAGGCTGTAAAGAAGTAAAATTAAGTCTTAATTGTTCTGCCTAAGGGGTGAAAAAGGCTACAGATCTTGACTAAGGAGTTTGCATAGATCTCCTTTTTCTATATTGCCTGGCTGTTTCCAGGATGGCCTTAGGCTATTCTTCTGAAATATTGCTCTAAATAGACTTCATGCAGCCTATGATGGTTTAGGCATAGATTAATTTTATATTAAATAAAATTGTTTCTGGCAGACTAAAACGGAGTACTTTTTAAAAATGTTTTTAATCAACATATTCAAAATGAGAGAGGTGATGGTCCCCTTGTACTCTGCCTTGATAAGACTACATCTGAGGTATCATATTCAGTTCTGGGGGCCAATTTGAGGAAAGACTTTGAAGATCCATGTCCAAAAGAAGGTAAAAAGGATGGCAAAAGGCCTCAACATCATGCCATATGAGGATCCACTGAAGGAATTTAGGATGTTCCTGGAGAAGAAAAGATACAGGAGGAAAATGAAAACTGTCTTCAAATGTAGAAGGTAGATTAGACCTGTACTACTTGGCCCCAGAGTGTAGAATTACAAGAGTAACGATGAGTAGGACTGTATGAATTTTATTAGGTTTATTGAAAAGAAAAACTTGCTAATTATTAGAGTTTGCCAAAAATGTCATCATCTGTGCTGGAGGCAGTGAGTTCTCCTTCATTAGCAGTGCTCAGCAAAAGTCTGGAAGACCACTTGTGGAGGAGGTTATAAAGAGGATCCTTGGATAGGTGCAGGTTGGCCTGGATAACCTCTGAGAGGCCTTCCAACTCTGAGTTTCTATAGTTCTGGTACCTCTCCAAATACATACAGAGAAATGAAATCTTAGCCTCCTGACTATCGAATTTTCTCTCACCTTTCCACTTAGGCATGATCAGCAACCTGCTGGGAGAGGGAGCTGTGGACCAATTGACCAAAATGGTATTGGTCAATGCACTCTACTTCAAAGGCCAGTGGAAGCTACCTTTTCCAAGCAAGGGCACCCACCATCGCCTCTTCCACAAATCTGATGGAAGTACTGCCTCCGTGCTCATGATGGCCCAGACCAACAAGTTCAGTTGCAGTAAGTGCAAGTGCTCCTCTTTGTTCTCCAGGACTGAATAATTCCATTATTCAGAACTGGGATCTAATCTGACTTAAACTCAGAAGTTCTGAGCTCTCAATCAGAGCTTTCTCCACTCTCTCTCTAGCTCAAAAGGAGTTTTTTTGTGCCCAGAAAATCTTGCTGCAATGGTGATGGAGGGTGGGAAAGTCTGGATAGACAGTACTGAAGGAGTAGATTCTCAGATTATAATTAGGTGGGGAGGTGGGAAGGGAGGGAAAAATAAAAAGGCTAAGAGAGTGCTGAAATCTAAAGATACTGTGATGGTACTAAGACACCCTGGTGATAGATGAAAGAATAAGAGGGAGGAAGGGAACGGAAAATGAAAGAAACTTAAAAGTGAATTCCAGGAATGTATGTGAGAAATTTTAAGGATGGGAAAAGTGGAGAGATCCTCCCCTAGGGTGGGGCTGAGTTGTAATGACTATTTTCATCATCAGTAGACCTTTTTCCCATGTAATTTTCTTATTCTTTCTAGCTGAGTTCTTGACCCCCAGTGGGCACTACTATGACATTGTGGAACTGCCCTATCATGGTGACACCCTCAGTATGTTCATTGCTGCCCCCTATGAAAAAGAGGTACCCCTCTCTGCCCTCACCAGCATCTTAGATGCCCAGCTCATCAGTCAATGGAAGGGCAATATGACCAAACTACCCCGTCTCCTGGTTCTGCCCAAGTAAGTGCTACCAACCTCAGCCCCCTACATCTTTACCATCTGCATCAGATGGTAAATGCTCCTTGCACCCGATATAAATTCAGGATTCTCTCGTGACTTCCTAATCTACTAGTGCTTCCCCAGGCTCTGAGACTCCAATAAAAATTTAAGGTGGTCTGGAATGGATTAAAAACAGTCCCTTCCCTTTGCTTTTGGTGAGGCATAGAGAGAAAAGAGGCTATTAGAGCCTGCCTCTGGTTTCTTGCCCCCTAACACACAAAGTAAGAGCCAGTCACAAGAAAAGAGAAATCATTAGTGGGAGACTGAGGGTGGGGTAAGTCTGGGCCATCAATTTTTTTTTTAATATTTCTCCAACTCTTGAAAATTTTAAAAGAAAAGGGTGTGTGTGTGTGTATGTATGTGTGTGTGAAATATCATCTCTTCTATCGAATTAGTAAACCTAACCTGCAGTTCTTAGGTAAAGCCTCAGTTAATAAAGCAAATTTATAAAAACCCTTCTAAAGAGGGAAGAGGCGGTTATTAAGGCTGAAGTTAGGTAATCAGAAACCTCTCCCTGTGTCTGTCCCACTTTTTCCGATGCTTTCAATAGCTGACAGACTTTTCTGTGCTTTTCTTTTTTCCTTCTTTTTTTAAAAAAACAAAAATTGTGGCAATCAGCCATGTCCTGGTGAGAACTGAAGAGCTCAAAAGCCTCCCTGCATGAGCTCTCTTCATGACTGACTCTAGAAAACAAAATCTACAAATGAAACTTTTTTCTGAGATGTCCTTTCACAAGAATTTGCCCTTGACTCCCAACCAGACTGGGTAAAACAATGCCAACATTTCTGGCTTATTTAAGGAAAGGGATCAAACACTGGCCATGATTTCCAAACCTATATATTTATCCCTAAATCATCTCCAGAACTCTAGTCCTATTTTTTCCGAATGCCTGCTAGACATCTTCTACTTGGATGCCCAATTAGCATCTCAAATTCAACATATACAAACCAGATCTAATTCTCATGTCCTCTAAACTTATCCCTCCTCCAAACTCTTGTTCGAGTTCAGGGCACCAACAGGTATCTAATGGAGGTATCTTGGTGTTAAACCTTATCCATATATTTAAACTTGGGAGATTTCTGACTTACCTTTCCCTCACTCTAGTCACAAAGTCACATTAATTCTACCTCCACAGCATCTCCCACATATACCACCCCACCACCAAGGCTTTCATCAACCCTTCAAGCCTATTGTCATAGTCTCCTAATTAATCTGTCTCCCCAATTTCAATTCTCAATCCTTCACACAGATGCCAAAATAATATAACGAAAGCACTGGTATGAACATGTCACCTTCCTGATAAAAAATTTTCAGTGGTACCCTTCCATAATCCGGCTTTCCATCTTTGTCTCACATTGCTCCTCTTCATGCTTTTTTATTCCAACCAAATGGGTCTACCAGCTGTTCCCCAAACTCAACAGTCTATCTCCTTCCAGTATCTGTGCATTCCTACAAGCTATCCATTATATCTGAAATGCATTCCTTCCTCATCTCTACCTTTCAGACTATATCTTCCTTCAAGATTTAGCTCATATAATTGTTGGTGCCCTCTCCTACCTCAAACTTTTCTTACAACACTTTTTATCATCTCTCCATTGCCTCCTTTAAGCTTTACTTCTATAATACAATATAATATGTCCCATGTCCCTTTACTTCTATAATACAATATAATATGTCCCTCCTAGTGAAATATAGGTTCCTTGAAGGCAAGGACTGTTTTGTTTTTGTCCTCATGTTCCCAGTACCTAGCACTGTGACTTGCTTTAAAAATGCTTATTGAGTTAAGAGACTCATCAATACCAGAAATCCACCTCTAACTTGGATGAACAGACCCTGCAAACAAATAAATATCTCACTCTCCAATCTTTCAACAAGTTCAATATTATCTCTCGGCAATGAGGACAATAGATTGTTTAAGAACAAGGCTTTTGGAAAGAGTACCAACTTAGAACCTTGGGTTCTGCTAATGATGTGTGTCCTGAACTTGAGCTAAGTCCTCTGATTTTGCAGGTTTTCTCTGGAGAGTGAAGCTGACCTGAAAAGGCCTCTGGAGAACTTGGGGATGAAGGACATGTTCAGGCCAGGCCTAGCAGATTTCACAAGACTTTCTGGTAAGGAATGCTCTATGCCTTGTCTTGGTTCTTCTCCCTGTCTCTGGGAACTTAAATCATCTGTGAACATGAAGAGGAGGTGGGGGAAAGCATCATCCAGAAAACGGGCTGACGGGCCCTTGTACTATTTCTGTCTCAGACCAAGAAATACTCTATGTGTCCCAGGCCTTACAAAAGGTGAAGATTGAGGTGAATGAGAGTGGTACTGTGGCATCCTCAACCACTGGTAAGTCTGGCTCTGCCAGAAATGAGGGCAGGGAGAAGTGGGGCAGTTCTTGAAATAAACTCCAGGCACTGAGGAGAAGGTTCACTCCAAAGATATAGGAAACAGTTAACCAATCCCTTATACCCTTAGGATGTCAGGGTGTGGCCTACTCTCTCCCAAGTCCATCTCAGTGTGGACTAAACTTACTTCCCAGTTCAAAACAGTCCTCTCTTCACAAATCAGTTCCTTCTCTGATCAAGGAAGGAAACAGCTCTCATTCATACATTTACCAAGACTTTCTTCAATCACATTTCTCTGTCTAAAAGAGAAGGTCCTGCTTTCCCCAGAACCTGACTTGTTACCTCTCTAACTCCTGTAGGACCCTGGTTATTGAAAAGTCTCCAAAAGACTAGCTTTTAAACAGTGGGTAGTAAACATGTAGAAGTTGGGAAACAAAGGAAAAAAAGGAAAATAAAACCAGTTTTTTAGTCAGAAGACCTGGATTCAAATCCCACTTCAGATGCTTATGGCCTGTGTGACCCTGGGCAAGTCACTTACTCACCCTTAGTTCTCTCACCTACAAAATGAAAGAGTTGGACTAGATAATCTCTAATATACCTTCTCGCTCTAGATCTACGATCCTATGAACCCCAAGACGTGGTACAGACTGATAATATATATAATTTCAAAAAGAGTCTTTTAGATAAAGTCACAGATAATAATAGGTTAAGAGAAACCAGGATATTTCAGGGGATATACCTAATTGTTCAAGGTTATTGGGTTTGGGGTTTTTTGGGAGGGAGGAAAACCTAGACCTTCTCCCAAACCATTCTTCAATCCTATTATCAAGGCAGAGTAATATGCCAGACAGACCAATTACCTGGTATGGTTGCAACTCTTATGTTCTTATACTTTAAGAGGTTTGTTTTTGTTTTTGTTTTTCTCTTCCAGCCATTGTTGTCTCTGCTCGAATGGCTCCCCAGGAGATCATCATGGACAGGCCCTTCCTCTTTGTGGTCAGGCACAATCCCACAGGTGAGGGATTAAAAAAATATTGCAACACTCTGAAGGTTGTTCCATCCTGCCTTGGGCAGGACAGACTCAAAAAGACCACCTCTGTTCTTAGGGAGTTTCTAAGGAAAGTCATTCTTAGTTACCACTCTTTTACATTTAACTTCCTACTAGGTGAGGCATTATGATGAAGTAGAAGAGTGCTAGATTGGTAATCGGGGTCTGAGCTCTGCTCGCAGTTCTGCCACCAACTAATTATCAGCCAACAGACAAGTTATTCATTCTAAGCTTTATTTTATTCATCAATTAAAGCACAAAGTTGGACTAAATGACCTGTACAGTCCCTTTTAGTTCTAAAATTCTACAATTCTTTTTATCTCCTCTAGGAACAATCCTTTTCATGGGACAAGTGATGGAACCCTAAGAGATCAAATCTTCCCTTTGGGAAAAGGAGTGCTCATTTGGAACAAACTAAAAAGTGACATACACAAGAAAGACCCCCTGAAGAAATAATTTTTTTTTGCATTTCTCTTTCTAGAAAAAGACCAAACAAAACAAAACAACCACTTTTCCCTTTTAAAATCTCACCCTCAGGTCTTGGCCTCTCACACCCAGGCTCTATGAGTATCCTTTCCTCCCATAATGGGGGAGACAGACAGTGAGGCGGTTTCCAAGAGGGCCCGAAGCCAGATTGTTAAGACTTGCAGGATCATTCAGATACCTGCTTCTGTTTGGTCAACCCCCTGCCCCCCCCCCGGTTTCCCCTAAGACCCTGAGAAGGAAAAAAATAAGACTGCTGGGAGCTTTAGTGTACTTGGTAGAAGCTATCTGCTTCCCAGTCATGTTGCCTTCATTCTTGTACTGTCTGCCACTGCTGAAGAGGCTGGCACCAGACCAGAGCAGGTAGAAAGAACATCCTTTAATCCTGTTCTAACTGGATATTGACTGTCATCCCCTTCAAAAAGAGGACTTCTAAGGATGGGCAAAAAACTCCCTAGTGGCACCAGGACTCACTTTGGCACAGCACCTTCCCTAGAAAACAGGATGCAAAGATTATTTTGGACCCTAAGCGATGTGCTTACTCAGAGAAGCCAATCTTTTGCTCCTCTCACCCTTTTTGTTTTGGGGAAGGAGAGAAAGAAGAGCCAGCTAAATATGAGTGGATTTTCTCCAATTTTATTTGCTGGGAACAGGAGAAGCATTAACATAGCATGTGTGAATATTGTTATGTTTACTTAAACCGTGTGTGTGTGTGTGTGTGTGTGTGTGTGTGTGTGTGTGTGACAGAGTGAGATATCAAGGGAGATTTAATATATTCATGTATTATTATTGTTATTTTGCACTTATTCTGCTTCTATGTAGGAGAGAATATCAATGAGGCTCCATAGCCCTGGCATAATTTAATGAGCTCATTAGGAAAAAAAAACAAAACAAAACTCTACTGCCTACTGTGTAATGAGGCCTGCAGTGCCACCTTGTGGCCACATAAACACATGTAATTTCTCATTTCAGGCCAGGTTAGAAAAGCCTTCAGATGCTTTCATTTATAGTTTGACTCAGAGGAGTATACAGGTCAGGTCCTTACACATGCCGACCCACCACCTATTACAAAAAAGTGGTTAGGTCCTGTCTGGAAATCCATTTCATAGTCTCCTGGAGGTATGTCATAGAGGTCAAGTGAGGAGAAATAAGTATTTTTTAAATTGCATACTTCCTAATTACATGAGATGGAATATGGACATTACATAGTAGAAGTTTAATCACCTCATTATGTATGAGTTCCATAGCAAGTTCCATTAAGTAAAGAGTCCTCCATTATCCTTCCTACGAAATTTCATTATGCACTGGATGGTGAGAGCTACATATAGCACCCACAATGTGATATCAAAATGTTGATCCAAATTTCTTGAAGCAGTTTGGATATAATTATATAACCTTTTTACCCATTTTTGATATGTAAATAAAATAATTTTTTAAAAAATAATAAAACATGTCAAAACAGTACCTTTGCCTTTTATTACATTTGGTGCCAGGGGTTGGACCAAAGGCTAACAAGCTGCTACATCTGGAAGAAATCTCAGAGAAATGCACAAATTTAGAAATTCTGGCCTATTAAGGGGCAAGAACATAAGCACAGAGAACTAGCCAGGCCTCTATTTCAGATGTTAGCACCCAGTGACATTTTATGGGTAGACACAATTGTCCTGTGTGTCAGCTTCAACAAAGCAGAGATATATCCTGAAACATGCTACCTCTCACCAGAATAGTTTACTTCTTATTCCCCAAAATATGCCATGGACAGCCTAACCTCCTATTTTTGTTCAGAATGGTTAGTCCACACCATCTTTGAATCCATTCCCCCTTTCCTACTCATTCTTTAAGGTCCAAATCAAGTCCATGAATCATTTCTACACCCTTCCAATTCAGTTACCTTTCTAGACTCTGCAGTATTATTTATTGTCGGTATTACTTCTTTGTGGTTTCATCACATCTCATATACTTCTAGTAGTCTTTAGCCTTTAGCTCTTGCATTGTTACTTAATTTTTATGTGTTTATGTTTCGTCCCCCTAACTAGAATATAAACTTCTTTGTAACTCCCTCAAACTTTACAAATATTTCCTTTAAAAATTCCAGCTCTTCAGTAAACTATCAGCTTTGGCCTAGCCAGAAGTCAGGCTCCCTTCAACAGTAACTCACATTTGTGTTTCCATAACTATTTTTTAATTGAAAGAAACTCCTCACCCTCAAAAGCCAAGTACATTTTTATATGCTAGTAATAAAGACTAAGCATTTTTAAAATGAAGTTACCTACAGGATCAAACATCAAGTCCTTTTTGGCATTTAAATCTCTTCACAGCCTGACCTTTTTTATACCCTACATTTTACTCCTACTCCATGCACATCCAGCTATATTGACCTACTTACTGTTCCTCAAACAAAAAACTTCATCACCCATCTTGCTGCCTTTACAATGGCTATTCCCTCCCAATCTAGCCCCCCACCTTCCATATACTATGCATGTATTTTATATAAACCTATTTATTTATTTATTGTTTTTCCCATTAGAAGATGAGCTCTTTTAGGGCAGGTTCTATTTTTGTCTTTCCTTGTATCTCTAGCACTCAGTATAGTGCACATGGTAAGCTTTTAATAAATGTTTGTTGTCTGAATGAACAAAATCCCATTTACAATGAACGACAAGAAACTACAAAATACTCAGGAATTAACCTACCTAGAAATATACATTGTCTGTATTTAGATAACTATAAAAATCACAATGGCTGATATAAAGGAAACTGTAAATAATTGGAAAGATTCCATTTTCATGACTGGGTTCAATCAATGTAACAAAAATTATAATACTTCCCAATTTACATGTTTAATGCAATGCAGTACAACTCATTTATTAAGTGCCTACTATATGTCAGGCACTAAACACAGGGGATACAAATAAAGATAGTCCCTGCCCTCCAAGAATTTACAATCAAATAGGGTAAGACAACACACAAAAGAAAGATGAAAACAGGGTGGGGAGAGTAGAGGGTACTCAGCATGGGGGCACAATCATGGTGGTGTAGAAACCAAGCAGTGCATCTGGTGGGAAATGAAGAATTGTGCATCTGAGCCATCAGCAGGCTGTGGGAAGTTTTTTTGCTCCACTTTCCAGCCTTCTAATCAGAGGGACGAGACAGCTGAGACTACTGATGAGGTGTGAATACCAAAGCTGAAGCAATACTACTGGGCTTCATAAAAATGGTTAAATTCATAATGTAATTTATAAGTACAAGGGACTAATCAACAGTTTCCTAACCGACTTAACATGCTTACAGGGACTTTTGGAGTTTATCTCCCTTCAGAAGGGGGAGACATGTTTCTAGTCACCTACTCAAAAATGGCTTTCACTAATTGGCCTCCAAAGATGAATTAGTTGGGAGGGTAGATAAGAGCAGTCACCCCTTTGTGCTGGCTTATAAAAGGGAAATGACATATCTGCTCACTCCTTTTCCACTTTTCTTCCAGAGATTCTCATAATGTAGTAGGTGAAGTTTTCTCAACACTAAGGGCTGGTTTATGGGAAAGGCCCATGATGGCTATTCAATCCCACTCAGCCAGAGGGAGATTCCCCAGGATCTGCTGCTAGTGTAGGCCAAGCATAAAAAGTAGATTCAAGTTTTCAATACAATAAGCATTTGTGGGGCGTAAAATATAATTAAAACTCACTCTTCAAATCCACACCAGCACTAGGAAGTTGCCATCCCCAGAGAGGCAGCTGTTACACTCTCAGGGTTCTATGGATAACCTTGTGACACCTGTCCTCCTAAAACTAGCTCATGAGCTTCCACCAGAGTGGTTTTCCTTAACAATCAGTAGATTCAGTTAGTTCTTTAGTAAAGGGATTTAATGAGAAGGGATAGCAAACAAAACTGGTACAAAACATTCCTCCCAAACAGGAAAAACACTTTTCTCTTGCCCACACAAAGTCCCTAGGAAGAACAGGTCCAAATTGAAAGTACAATGGTAGTGAGATACACGTGTAGAGAACATGTGTGGCCAAGGTTTTTTTCAACTGCTTCTGATCCTGGAATTTCTTTTCTGACTTTGAGTAGTCTTCATGAAGTTCCTTTAGGTATAATAACAACAATAACAAAAAGCTAACATTTATATGGTGCCTACTACATGCCAGGCATTGTGCCAAGCAACAGGGAGACACTATTATTATTATTCCTATTTTACAAATGAGGAAACTGAGGCAGAGATCAAATGATTTGTCCAGGGTCACACAGCTAGTAAGTATCTATGGCTAGATTGGAACTCAGGTCTTCCTGACTCCAGACCCAAAGCTCTATCACCTAGCTCTCTGTGGGGTGGTTTATCCACTGCTAGGCCAGGCTACTTCTGCTACTTCAAGTGCCAGGGAAGAAGGAAATGCTAGCTGTCACCTAACTGTGATGTGCTGTACTAGGCTGCTGCTGGGCTCAACTGCTTACCTATAACTCTGCAATCTCTCCAGATGTCATAATGGACTTCCACTTCCAGAAACCAAGATGGCGGAGTGAAAAGGTAGTCGCTCTCATTCTCCCCTATCAACCTCTGAAAACCCAGAAAATATCATCCCAGAAAAAAACCCTGGAGCAGCAGTGCAGCAGCCCAGCAAACGGGTCTCCCAGTGCCTCAGCAAAAATAAGGGAGGCAGAACTACAAGGGGCCCCAGGTGGATAAGAACCCTGCAGCATTCACTTGAAAGGAGGTGAAGAAAGCAACCTAAAGTCTTCCTAAAGCCTGGGCCTTACTGGTTCCAGTCCAACACCAGGTGAGCTGTAAGAGCCCTGCAGCCTCCAATTGCGAAGAAATCCTGAAACCCAGGTGGTAGAACAGGCAAACACCAACACCTGGACCTCTGAGTGCCTCAGTGAGGGTGGGGAACCAGTGGAAACCAGCTCAGAAAACCACCAGGTGCCTCGGCAATCTACCGCAAAGGAATCTCCCAGTGCATTAGCAGAAACGAGGGAGACAACACTGCAGGGCGCCCCTGGCAGATAAACACCCTGCAGCACCCATCTAAAAGGAGCTGAAGAAAGCTAAAGGAAAGGAAAAGCAGACAACCTAGAATTGCCTGAAAGTTCAAGCCTTGCTGATTCTAGACCAAGATGAGGTAAGCTGCCAGAACCCTACAGCCTCCAATTGCCAACATAAGAGGCCCCAGCACACAAAGCCAGTGACCAAGACCTAGGCTTCCAACACAAGAAGCTTGGATCAGTGCCCTCTGTTCCCCAGCAGGAGAGCTCAATCTCTTTAAAGGCCAGATGTCATAATGCCCACAAGATCAATACCTGGGCTTATTCACCTCAAAGTTGATACTTAGTAGCATCCCAACTCTCATGCCTACTGATACTATGTCCAGCAAACTCTTGTACCAACTCTTGTTGTTGGCTGGACCTCTGGATCTCCAAAATTCACAAGGTTGTTGCCTGGACAAATTCATTTGAGAATGTTTGTTTGCCTAATATCAGGAAAGAATAAATATAAAAGAAACAGAGGTGCCATGGACATCTGGTGGCCAGACCCTGGACATATCATTTGATCTCTACCTCAGTTTCCTCATTTGTAAAACAGGAATTTGGCTAGTGGACCTTTCCTTACCCAACAGCTCAAGTCAGTCCTGCTACTTAAAGATGCCAAGGAAAGATATGATATGAGGACATGAGATGAGGAAGAAGTGTCAGGGAGGTGAGGTCTTTTTTCTCCCCAGGACACACACTCAGTTCCAGCTCAGAACATGTTGATTCATTAGTTTTACAGGCTCCAAAGCCGTTTAGCTGCTCATTGCCAGAAGTGTCCGTACTGTTGGATCGAAAAGAGACAGAGAATATCTATGCATGCTCTAAGGCCTGGGCCCTTATTAGCCAGTTTTCCTCATTATAGTA